CAGCCCATCTCCCCTTCCTGCTGCACAAAGCCCCTGGGTTCTGTTCATGGGGCCTCTCCCCCCCCCAATCCCTGTACCCCACTTCCCCCACTGCTGCCCCGAGGGGCGTGGGGGGTCCCAGGCTGTGCTCACCCCAGGCAGTCTCCCCCCCACAGGCGGCATAAGCCCTGGACTGGGGCCAGGCCTTTCAGATGCAGGGTGAGCCCCTCCTGCCCCATGGGCCCCCTACCACTACACAGTAGGTCCCCGGAGCCTGCCTGGGCCCCTTCTCTGTCCAGCCCCAGACACCGGGATGAGCAAAGCTTGGAAACGTGCAGCGGGGTCGCGCTGATCACAGCGGCCCTTGGCCCGTCTCTGCGGCTCTCCCCCCCCATCTCAGGGCCCCTCTGCTCACTGTGCGCTGTCCCTGCAGGCCTCCAGCGCGGGGTGTACGAGACCATCAGAGACACTGCCAAGGCCAGGGGGCTAGAGCTGGAGATGTATCCGTACCTGCCGTTGCTGCACCCAGACCCGCCCGCCCTGCCCCAGGAGCGGTAGGTGGTGGTGGGGGGGTTAGGGAATACGTAGCCAGCCAGGGCTAGACAAAGGGGGGAGTAGGGATAGGGGCCCGAAAGGACCCCAGGCCAAAGGCTTCCATTGCATCATGGGTCCGGTGGCTCGGAGCTCCCCAGGCTAACAGCACTGACAGGGTAGGGGCATCACGTCGGCCGCACACGCAGCCCCAGGCCTTGGGCACGTCGACGAGGATTTCCCATCACGTCCAGGGGTTAGGTGTAGTCAACCCACGTGCTTTGTTGGGGGCAGGAGCAACCCAGCCCGGCCAGGGAAGCCCTGGTCTCTGTCCCCACCCGAGATGGGGAGAGCAGGGGGAGGTGCAGCCTTCAGTCTCCAGGGATCCCGGTGCTGCCCTGAGCCCGGAGCCAGCCCCTCTGAGAGGAGGGGGGCTCTAAGCACGGCCCCCTTTTGGGCCTCTCTCCAGCCAACAAGCAGGTGCCTAGGTTGGGCCCTGCGGCGCTCAGCCCGGGGACTGTGGGGAGCCGAGCGGAGCCCAGCCCCCCCGCCGGGGATGCCTCTGCTGGGGCCGCACTGGGCTTGTCTGACAGCCCCTGCGCCAGAGCCCGGGGTGTCTCAATCCCCTCCCCCCAAGCTGGGTCCAGACTCCTGCTCCCCTCAGACTCGCTTCCCTCTGCTCGGGGGCCAGGCCCCCTCCAGCCTCCCTCCCTCCATGGGTGGCACTGG